GTTCACAGCCCATGGAAAGCTAACAAACCAATTAGAGCATATAACATGACTTGTTTTTTATCCGTGCTATTGTTTTGTAAGCCTAGAGAGCATTTGTGATTTTCCACATGAAGCATGCCAAAATTTTTAAGCATGTTTAGATTGACTTTTTTTTTTAATTTTAAACTTAATCTAAATCTCATGGGGTGTATAATATGGGTTTTTCTTAAACACTTGAAGCTTTCGTAACATATAAATGTTGACAAGTAGACAAATTTATTCATAATATTTTGAACTTGAATAATATTGTACATTTTGGCGAGAAAGTAAAAGTACTGTTTACTTATTTTGAAGTTGAACAAGCCCCTTAATAATGTGACTTTTACTCCTAAGTTCGCTTACTCTTGTGCTATGATTGGAAACAAGGGGTTGAAGAAACTTGGGAGGAAAATACTCCAAAATTAATTTTCCCTCCATCCCTATCTCACACAATCTAAGATTTCTTTCCAATTTTCCAAATTAATCCCTAATGACAATCAGTTACTGGGGACCGCTGATGTTTTGCATGCCCGTTGAGAGATCTTTACTTTCAATTTGTAGAGTTTGAGCCCGATTCTTGCTTAATAGAAATCAAGTCGAGCTAGAGTATGCCGAGTTTGTATCTAGCTGAGCTCGAACACAAAATGATTCTGGATCTGGCACAAGTCAAATTTTGAGTATTTTCAATCGAGTCGAGTTTGAGTTTCAGGTAGTATCAACTTCATTTGGCTTGATTACAGCCCTAATCTTCAGCTTTGGAGATAATGACAAACGTCTTGACCTATGCATCTTGATTTGCTTGCTTTGACGTCCTCTGACTATGCATTAAGCTCCAATTTTCTCCATTGTGTTCCAGTTGTAGCATTTCCTCTCTTGTGCATTTTGTCTCTCTCACTCTGTTGTTTCCTCTTGCATATTTATGTGGTTTTCTGTCATGTTGATTTGGTTCTATTACAAGTTTGCATGATCTTTTTTTCTCAATTTTAATATGATTTATGTGATGTGATAGGAATATGTGGTAGAAGACGTCGATGGCGAGATGACAGGATCTGATTGGTCTCCGCCACCTCTCCCTCCCGAGCATGTTCAGCAGCTGAAAACGCTTGGCCTCCTCTAGTAGCGGAGTCATTATATGGTTCATAAGAATAACTTGTACGATTCTAATAACCCTCTCTGTATCTGCCTTTGTATGTGGTAAATCCCCGAATGAGGAGATTGGCCAAATCCCTCTTCAGAGCCCAACCATGAAGAGACTAAATGTTCCACTGCTCTAGTGTTTTCACTCACAAGTTCTGGACACCTACCTTTTCTGTTGAAATTTACCACAATATGAGATGGCATAAGACCAGATCCGAATATTGTAAATGAAATGGCTATTGACGGCTGTAGTGAAGCCTATAGATTTACAAAAGTCAGTAATTTTCACATTGGTTTCATCGTTTGTAACACTTTCTGGTATGTTTTTGCATCTCTGTATTGCGTTTTATCTGCTGTCACTGCCACTCATTGTCCAAATAAATACTTCATAGTGAAGCTTTTGAGTGGTCATTTTGGATTTGCTATGCTGCTGGAATGGTACTTTCCTTGGAGTGTGATATATCTCTTTGTTTTGATGGGTATTTTAGATGGATAAACCTTCTGTCGCGGTTCCAAAACGATGAAGTTATAGTCGCGGAATCAACCGAGGATTCTGATAGGATGGCTTGATGTGGAATGTTGAAAGTCTCTAGTTTGGTTTAGCAACTTAAGAAGAACGGTTTCAATTTGTTTAGTGTTTCTCACAGTCGAAGGAGCTTCAAGGCTGCAAGGCCAGCTACTTAGTTCCTCCTAGGAAAGCTTCAAATCGAATTTACACCCACTATTAACGAGAAAGTATAGTGGTGTATGGGTTTTTTGTTTTTCCGAATTTTCCTAAACATAAAATGATGCTTTTATCTTCAACTTCTTGGAGGGAAAGTATGGACATAAGTCAAAAGCAACTGATCAACGCAAACGAACAGGATAGAGCACTGGCGAATAGACGCTTCATCACGAACCCAAGGATTGATTGAGTGGTCAATCGCTCGGCTAGGAGATAGATGCATTCATGATCAAAACACGATGTCGTCCGTTCCATGCAATCTCTGAGAGCAATGTGAGTCACCACGGAAGCAAAGCCTTGCCCAGTGAGCTTGACCACGCGCGATATTCATGGAGATTAATCGAGTAGAATGGTTTCGAAAAAAGAAAATATGTTCATCAATATTACCAGCAGGCAGCAGGCCACCATCTAAGTTGGGATACCCACATGCTTGCCATGTGCAATTGCTTGGCTACTCTCTTGGTCACTTTCTTGGAACCACAAGCTCCCATGTTCAGTGGGAAAATTAAAATAAAAATCTCTTACATAATTGGTTTTTTAGCAAGACATGATCCCATTAAAATATTCACCGGCCCGGTCTAAACAAGATTTTTGGTAATTATTTTATACTTAGTTGAATTGAATGTGCAACAATCCGGTGAACCGGATGTTGATAAGAGAAAAATTAAAGTAGGTTTAATATGGGGTATTAGATGTTTAAAAATGCATCAAGTCCACATGCTTCCCATCTACCCAAGATTCAGTCACTCATGTTATTTGTGAAAATACTGTGGAAGTATTGCCGATTGTTCCAAAAGCTTAGACTCTTTAAATGAAGCGTAACTTGATATTCAGGTTATTTAATTTTTTTATGTGAAAAAAGTTTAGGAGGAGGGGAGTTACCCATTACCAAAAACCGGGCATACTACATGCCTATAAGGTCTTATATTCGATTTACAAACCGCAATCGAACCTGGGCATGGTGGGCGAAACGTCCGATCCTTGCCGGTTGAGCCAACCCACTTCGGCCATCTACTGTTTTTATTATCTAGTACATACTAGCTTGACTGTCTCAATAATTTTTTTTTGCTATGTGTGTGTGTGTGTGTGGTTGCCAATTTTTAAAAGTCAAAAGAAATGGATAACTTATTGCTTAAGGTGGAGAAGCTCAAATATGAAAGATTCTTCTTGAAACCGTCGCTCCTTGAAGATAAAACAATGACCAAAAGTCAACTAGATTTTTTTTTCCCTTGAACTCCATCATGCCGGTTCATAATCCAATATTAAACAATGACCAAAAGTCTTTATCGTGTGAAACAAGAGAGAGATTGGAGGGAGAGGATAAGGATTGGACACATGTTCATTTACTAAAATTTTGATTTGGAAAGTGAAAGCATGGTCATAATTCCTCCCTAGGAAGGTAGTTAAATACTTAATTTACATGCAGCGTATCTTATATTCAAATCACTGGATGTCTCATCAAAGTAGTGTTAGAGGCCACGCCCATCTCCATTTTGGATGGAATCCTAATCGATGCACCGAATTTGACAATTTGCGCACATTCACTTAATTAGAAACTTTTAATAGCCATTTCATTTCATCCAAAACAAATTTTCAACAGATCTCTTACAATTTTGTTTTTTCTATGTAGTATGCTAAGTTCTGATCAAAAAAAAAAAAGGAAAAGCAGTACACTGAGTCGGGTTGGGATTTGAGGATACCTACTAAATAAATCCCAAACGTGTCTCAAACCCTATAAGTTAATTACGATGGATTCTATCTCGTGATGTGAAGCTCATAATCCAATTAGGAGTCATGAGAGTTGGGATTTCAGGATGCTGAAACATGTGTCGGAGCCTGCTCAATGATCACCTTTACTGAAACATGTCTACAGCTTTGTTTTGTCACATTTTATTGTCCTTTTCCAAGACGACAGTATTGATACATATCTATAAAATGTAGAGTCCCCATATGGACAACTAACATTGCCCAACAATTTACTTTTATTTTCAGTATTTGAAGGTTTTGGCACTCAAATCCCGATATCTAAATTTTCAATTCTTTTTCTTAAGTTTTTTTTTTATCAAATGAACCTAAGTAACGGAAGAAAAATACTCTTTTTGGAAGGAAAAAGAACAGCGAGTCTTAGAAAATAGAGAATCCACTTTTTTAGTGCACATAAATCATGTTATCTGAAGGAGCTAAATTTTAAACGATCACGTAACAAGTGCTTTCGAGACACAATTTAAGCATACATTTTTTTAAAAATTTAACAAAGTCATATTCGATTTTCAAAGTGTCGCTTGCGCACGCCACGAAATAATCTATACATTATAATAAAATCGCCAAAAATGAAGGGAAAAACAGGGAATGAGAAACACTTTCTTTGAAGTGTAGTTTTGAGGACTTTAATCTAATGTTCACTATTCGATAAAAAAAAAAAATCTAATGTTCACTATAATTGATCTGGATTGATTATTTCAAAGAAGTGGAGAAATGAAAATTTCAAAGGTGGGTTTTTTTTTTTTGGCAAGTGGCGACGGCTTTCCAAATTATTCCCAAAAAAAAAAAAAATATTTTTCTAGAGGAACTTCATGGTTCAGACAATGTGGGCCCTCCCCCAAATGCCCGAGCGTGAAAATCCACGTGTCCGAAAGTTACTGGCGTTGATGGACGAATCTGGCTACGTCACGTGGTGACGAAACTGCCATTGGTATTTTCAATTTGAAAACGGACGGCCGCCGACAGCGTAAAGCTATTGGCCGTTCGTTCCGGTGGTTTTGGTCGGGGGAAGCCGAAATTTTGTTAAGGAAAAAGTTTCATTGAAAAGCAACACATCACTCTCGTGATCCCTGATTCCATGTCGGATCTGTATTGCGATCATTTGCCACGTATATTAACACGTATGCATTTTAACGTAATATCAAAAGAAATTCTAATGAATAGTAGATTTGAATTATGAAATATCAATTTGGTAACTTTGTTATAAAATATCGATTTGAAATTGCTTTTGAATTTTTTTAACGATATTAATCCTAAGGAAAAGCAAGTGTCGACATACAAGCAGGACCCACATTGCGTGTGCTATACACCTATGTTGGTGCTGTGTTAAAATATGAAACATATGAATCATTCAATTGCCAAGTGCACAGCAACCAGCAACCAACCCCAAAAGAAAGAAAAAACATTGCCCAAAACCAGCTAACCCCACAAAAACCATCAAAAGATGGATAGAATATTCCCAACACAATAATAATAAAAGCATTAGCCATCTGTGAGCCTTATCCATTGCTCTAGCTCACACCCATTTCACATTTTCTCAGGTCTTATCCACTATAAAAACCCTCCCTCAAGAACCCTTTGCCCACCAAGGTTCCAAGAAAAAAAGAGGAGAAAAGAAGAGATTTTTGAACTCAGGAGCTGCCTGTCACAGAGAGAGAGAGAGAGAGAGAGAGAGAGAGAGAGAGAGAATGGCCGACATAGCGATCCTGGTGGCGGAGGAGTACGAGAGGAGGATCAAGAATTACCCGAGGATGAACCTGAAGGTTGAGGAAGGCGGTGCGGGTGATCGGTTCGAAGGTCTGAGCCTGAGAATGGTCGGTTCTTCCGTGTCCTCGTTTTCAGAGAGAGTGATGAAGAAGATGATGGGAGAGGCAAAGAAGCTGGAGGTGGTGAAGTGGGTGTTGGAGCCCAAGAGCCCCCTGAGTCTCGCAGCCTCCAATGGACTCTTCTCTGCTTGACCTCTCCTCCTCCTCCTCCTCTCCTCCCCTTGTTCAATTTGTATGTTGTATGTAGATCAACTAAAGATTGTAATTAACTATAATTAGAGAGGAACTGTTCATATTTGAGCTCCTTTTCCCAGTAACCAATAGATGATCTTCTTCATCTTTCGGTGTTCTTCTCTTTTGCCCTATCTGTAATTTCGAAGCATATAAAGATTTTCGTACTTTTTCAGTCTGAATCTGTTTCTATCTCCCCCTGACTGTGAGAGACGAAAGCGAAATAGGAGGGAATGAAAATGGGCGAGGAAAATACAGAGTGATGGTAAACCGGCGGGCTCGTTTTGTGCTTACAAAATAGTGGTGATCATCTGTCGGTCTTACCAGGGATTTCAACTCGAAAATTTGAGCTGCTATGCGCAAGATGACTGCATGCTTATCAAACTTGTTGTCCGTATTTAAGCAATATAGTATATACTATGATGTTCCCTCTCATGCGCAAATCGAACGTACAATGACCTATGTGTGGATTCAAATGACAATCGGGATATGGAGGATGCGGAGCCATGCTCTGACAACATGTCAGGAATTCCGACCGATGGAGTTTGGAGGACATGTGGTTGATGTCGGTGGGGACAGTTTTTCATAATAATCTGAGCTTTTGCTTAAAAATGAGTATTCAGTTCAAGAATATTCGGAGCTTATACCCACTTCATTTTTCAGCCCACATTGAACCTATTATCTCTTGTCAAACTATAGTTTTGTAAAGCCCAAATTGCAAAAGAAACTAGAAGCCCAACCATTCAGACAACTTATCTTATTTGGTATAAATTTCCTAAATTTAATATTTCCTAATTTGATGTTTCCTAGTTTGATATTTCCTAGTTTAATTTTTCCTAATTTTATGTTTCCCAGTTTAGTATTTCCTAGTTTAGCATTTCCCAGTTTAAGGTTTCCTAGTTTGATGTTTCCTGATGTAGTGTCCTAGTCCCTTTATAAATAGGGTTAATATCACAAAAAACCTTAAATTGGTACACCTGTGATAAATTTACTCTAAATTAATTTTTGACAACGAAAAATCCCAAACTGGTACACATGTGATAAATTTACCCAAGCTAATTTTTTGACCAACAAAAATCCCAAATTAGTAATCTTGTGACAAATTTACTCTCTATTAGCGAACCAATTTAAGATTTTTTGTGGTATTTACCTTATGGATTTGCACATGAAATTTGCCACACCACGTCATCATGTGTCATCTACGTCAGCAAATTTAACGGTAAAATTTGATGAAAGCTAACGGAGGGTAAACTTATCATAGGTGTACCGGTTTGGAGCTTTTGGTGGTCAAAAAATTAGTTTGGGGTAATTTATAACATGTGTACCAGTTTGATGTTTTTCGTGGTATTAACCCTTATAAATAAGAGGAGAACTCTCAGTTGTAGGCATGCGAATTGTGAGTTAATAATACAAGAAAATTTCTTTTAAGTGAGTGATTTTTTCGGTTCTTTGTCCGATTCACGCTAAAATTTACTTGTATACTTGTGTCATGCAATTCGGTAGTTCTATGGAATTACTTTTCTCTATTAAAAGTGGGCCAACCTTGGGCCGAAAAAGGTCTACCCAATGAATCACCTCAGAAACCCCTCTAGAAATAAAAACATATCAAAGATTACTACGTGAGAGAGAGATAATACTTTTTTTTTGTATCATAAGTAGAAGGATTAGGACAGGTTATGACCTATTTCATCCGCTGATAAATAGAAGGATTAGGACAGGGTTATGACCTATTTCATCAGCTGCTGGTACATTTGATTTAAGATGCTAATGAAGTATTAACTGTACAGTGGGCAAGTTCGTCACCATTGCCCCACCAGATGCTAGTATTAAAGCCCAAGACGGACAATATACCTAAGCCCAAACTCGTCATTCGTAGACCAAGGTAACCTGAGACCAAGGACATACTAAGGAATGGAACCTGTGATGTGCAAATCAAGTCTTGACCAACCACCCGATTGATAGAAGTATTACATTATTTTCTTGATAGGAGTAATATTAGCCAATGAAATGAGATGTCGATAGTTATCTTTTTCATATGAACTTTGCTGGTTTTTAACACACATTTATCACGATTTGGTAAACCTAGGAAAAAGCATTGACATTTTGATAATTTTCATTTTATTTTTGTATCGTTAGGTTGAACCCACTAAAAACATATTTAGCCCATCCTTTCATGGAGAGAACTGCATCCTAATAGGTCCGTTATAACCTTGTACCATTAAGGGTGTGTTTGTTACGGAAAAACTTCATGACGAAGGAATTATTTTCCGGAAAATTATTTTTCAGGAAAATATTTTCCCTTTTCCAATTTAAGGAATTCATTTACATATCTTTAAGCATTCATATTTTCTTTGATTGTAAATTTTCCGTTGACTAATCACTTTCAGCAAACCAATAAATTGAAAGTTTAGAAAACTAATTCAAATAAGATTCTTTTACTTAAAGAAACATACCTAAATTCAAATTCAAGCTCGTCTTGCCTCCTCAATAAACTTTGTCATTTGCTCCATAAATTTCGTCTTCTGTAGCTTTGCGTTTGGTTACAGTCAAACTTCCTTGTGTTGCCCTGAAAGATGTACATGAAATTCTGTGTCGATTACTTAGGCTAGCGTTACAACATTCGAAAACCGAATATGCAAATGGTTCTATAATTAAAATTGGAAAGTTGTGAAGGTCCATTCATAAGAACATTATGTTAAGAGCAAGTGGACAACTGCAAAATGCCACACACTTACGCGATGTGATAAGAAATTAATATATATTACAAGGTCATCGTGATTACTTATTCCCAAATAAGATTGGAGGAAAAATTGTCGAAAAAGACATAAATCTATTATACGGTTACTAATTCAGTCCTAAATGTTAGATGAATTGCAAGCGCACAATATCTACAAGTAATAAAGTGATGAGTGAGTATCGTTTCCACGAGGATTGTCTCTAATTATCCAATTACTTACCGAAGGTGATCAATCCAAGAAACTAGCTAACCAACTCGAAAAGGCAAGTAAAAAGTGAACTAAACCAATTAAAGGACTGAAATACAAAAGAGCCGAAGCTTAAAGGATTCAAAAGCTAATTAAAATTGCAAAGTAGACCTAATCCAAAGCAAACCGAAAATTAACAAGGCAAATTATCAAGATTTTAACCAAGATCACAAAGCGTTAGAGCATCCAACTTCACTTAACCACTCATAATCAATTTTCGTAACTTGTCATGCAACAAATTAATTCCCAATTGTGTTGGTGAAATTTCCCTAAGTTAGATTACAAGCCGACCTCGGTCTAATAATTCCTAATTAGGTATGTTAACCCACACTAAACTTAGGTGAATTTAAACTACCTAAAAGCATTAAGTTCTTGTGGAAATTCCCGGATTTAATCTAAGTAGTCCCAACCTAGATCTGCTACCGTAACCACGCAAACAACCTAGTGTACCTTGACCTAGATTTAATTTATGGTTCAATATCACTAGTGCACATGCATGCAATCTCCACCCAGTATCATGCATACATCGAAAATCATTTAAAAGTTGGCCAAACTTCTAAAAGCATTAAGATCATGATAGAGAACGACACAATCAGAACAACTATATTGCATAAGCAAGTCTTGATAATCAATCAATCATGGTTAAGATCCATTGTAGCTCTAACAAAAGAAATTTAGAACATAGTTAAAGCTAAACTAACAACAAAAATTAAAGAGAGCACAATGCTAAATTAAAATAAATTCACCAAGTTGAGTCACAAAGAGGTTCAGGTTTGTCTCTTCCTTCTCTCCTTGACATGCGCCAACTACAATAAAAAAATAGAAGAATAAAAGCTAACTAAGAAAACCTTAAATCTTCCTCAGAGGTGGCAGCTCCTCCGGATATTGAAATATGCGTCACAAGAGGGGTTTATTTTTGCCTTCAAAAATCTCCCCTAGGTCAACCCCCATTAGGTCTTGAATAGGATTCCTCGCCAAATTAAGAATTTTCCTTCTTAAGATTCATATTCTTGATTTTCTTTGAACCTAGCCTCAATTATGGTCAAATCCTCCAAATTTCTGGTCTTGATTGGCTTTTTCTTCAAGACAAAATATTTTGGAAGATACTGATATATTCTGGAAGATGCTGAGACATAGGGACTGATTTGCAATTCCAGCACAAACACACTAGAAAATTACGCATATGGTCCTGGCGTGTTCTGCAAATAGTGCGCATGGTCCCTTAGCCTCCGAAAGTTATACTTCCTACAAAATTCAATAAAATTACATGAGTAGCAAATAAATTCATCAAAAATTCGTCAAAATTTAGCAAATATCAAGCTTAAATTAGTAAAAATGCTCCATCTAAAATAGAGTTATCACTAAACTTTTCAATTTGACCAATATAGTCTTAAACATTTGACAATTTTTCAATGTAATCCATCCTGCTAATTTAGGCCAGAAATCGTTGATATGAACGCCGACAATCTTACGTGACACGACCGACGATCTGACGTGTCCGTCAGGCTTAAAACGATGTCGTTTTGAGTTTTTAAAATTTCTTTTATTTTCTTTTTTATCTTCATCTTCCCAAATTTCGGCCTTGCCGAGGGCTCGGTGACCTTGTCGACCAGAAATTTGGGAAGATGAAGGAAAGAAAGATAAAAAAGAAAATAATAAAAATAAATCATTTTTTTAAAAATGTCTCAAAATGACATTGTTTTGAGCCTCACCGAACATGTCAGATTGTCGGCCATGTTACGTAGGACGACCAGTGCTGCCTAGACCGCCAAATCAGCAATTTCTAGCCTAAATTGGTTCGATTTGTTTTTTGGTCGAAAAATTGGTTGGATTGACTACATTAAAAAATCATCTAAAGGTTTACAATTACACTGGCCAAATTGGAAAGTTTAGGATGAATTGGTGGCCGTATAATAGGTTTAGGACTTTTTCGACGATTCTTCTCAAGATCAGATGTTGAACTAACATGGCAACAAGGCAAATTTGAAAGAGGTCGAAGAAAATTAGAATCGAGAGTTAATGTAACAATGTAGTTATAGAAGGGACAATCCTTTTGTACATTTTGATAATCTATGAATGAATAACCTACTTATTAAAAGGACTAGAACAAGATATGTCTATTTAATTGCTTATACCATTTCTCTTAGGACAAAAGCAAAATTATGTTTTGCTACTTTATTACCCTACCGAATG